AAAAAATTATTTATCTGTAAAATCTTAAGGAAACTATGCATAAAAAGGACTTTGGTCAATGAAAACTATATCCTATTTTTTAATATTGGTGATTTCATGGATTAATGATTGCCTTATTATTTGTTTTCGAAGCTTACAATTATGAAGCTTTTAAACAAGCGTAAAAATAAATAGCTGATGTAAGCTTCTGTAGAGAATGTAATTCATCTGAAGTACAGTTGCCAATTGATAACAGTCAATCTCTTACTATTTTCTCTTTAAATATTTTTCCTTAGCTGAACTAACTTCTGTTATCATTCAGTTTTTTGGCCGTAGTAATGCAAGTGTGATTTCTAAATACAGTGAATTGTGTTGATGGTAGTGATTTTGTGAGTGTTAGTAGAGCTCAATGGTGTTGCCATGTTCCAACTTATGCTTTTGACAATTAGCATGCTCCATTTGACAATCAGCATGCCTATGCTACACAATATAATTCCAGATTCTTTTTATACTGTAAACAGTGCTTTTCTACAAACAAATCTAATATGTGAGTCTTTTCATATTAGTCCCTCAAAATTTTCATATTTGAAATTAGTCTCTAAAGCTTTCATATTTGAGATTAATCCCCAAGTCTTTCATGCTTAAGATTAGTCACCTAAATCTTCATATTTTGTTATTAATCTCTCTTGTATTTGAAGTTACTCTTTGTAACATTTACCCTCGAAATTGTTAACCACAGTGGAATATAATCAAGGGCCGGTAATTATCAAATCAACATCAAAATCCACCAAAGTTAGGCTTAAAAATCAGTTTTTAAATCAAATATTGCATAATCTTTTCCAAGTTGTACTGTAGTGGAGCTTTTTCGGGGTTTGGGTTTAAATAGATATGGCTCTAATTGCTATAACACCCGAAGTTGTTAAAGATGACGAAATAATATCTCAATGTCAATCTGTCTCTAACTGGAGGAACTAATGTTAAATCTAATATGAAAAAACCCTATATATTTATGCACATATCATCTTTTCATGTAGTTTTCTGTGCATTTCAATTATAACAGGTTCTAATATAATAGGTAAACGGGGTTTCTATTTCCATGTACTTTCGTATTTATAGCTGAAACTTGAAACGTAATTTATATTTTTCCTACGGTTTTACAGTTTTGTGATAAAATTGTGAAATAGAGTGGTCCCAATTTCATAAAGTTTTACATTAAAAAATGGATAGGTTTCTATGTTCATGTACTTCAGCAATTATTTTATGAATGTGATAGTTAAAATTGTTTCATTTCTTCTTATTATTGTTCAAAATAGGTTTAATGGTATAATTTATAGGATATTGTTAATTTGGCATGTTTTCAAAAAGATTATGATTTGTAGTTTGTGGTTATGGAAAAATCAATTGCAATTAATACATTTTTGAAAAGGGACTTAAGAAGATTGAAGTATGTTGATTCAAACGATGATCGCATATATTGATATGATTAAAGTATTCAACAAAACATTTATTTTTTAATTTAATAATTTAATTTTAGGTTCTTTCGCCTACTTACATATACGAAAGTTAACTATACATTGTTATATTTGATTGCTTTTTGATTGATACATGCATAGTATAATTGTTGTATTTTGCGCCCCCCACCTCCCTCCTGGCAAAAAACAAAAAAAAAAGGAAAGATGCTGGCTTCACTACTGACTGTGACATATAGCACACAAGCATACACATGTAACAAAGTGCTTAAATCTTCATATGCTTGGCTTGTTGAGACCATCCAGGAACTGTTTTTTATTTGCTTATGCTTATAATAATGAAATGACTTATTACATAGAGCATGACTGTACAAAAAAGTAAAATTCCTTCAATTTCTATTTTAGAGTGAATTGGTCTAATTTCAAGTTTAAAATAGTATCTTCCCTCTTTTTGCGACCTGTGTTGATTTTCTCGAAGCAGTGAATTATCCACATCCTTCTTTGCTTGCAATTTTGAGAGTGATCACCCTTTCATGTTTTCTATTGAGATTTCATTAATTTTCTAGTATTACGCAACATGTCTTTTGAGTTTGATTATTATTTATATTCTGATGCATACAATCCTTTCCCAGGTGAGTAGGGACGTAGATGCAGCCCTTGAAGTTTTCATGAGGGGCTTTCAAGAAGTACCATGCAAATCAATTGTACAGGTTCTGCAACTACTCTCATCATCATGTTTAGAAGTAAAGTACCTTTGAGTTACCCTCACTGTGGAGTGATTATCTTATTCTGTAGCAAGGCAGCTAAAGTAAACCCCGTACATACAAAATAGAAGTAGAAACCTATTATAGATGTATAGAAACTAGACTAAGGTCATATTTAGATTGGGTACCATTTTTAGTTAATGAGCCTTTTATTCCTTGAAATAAAATAGTGAGCTGTTCAGTTTGAAATTTTGGAGTTGTATTAGGCTGGATTACTTAGTCCATTGAAATGAAATAGTCCAGAGATTATGGACCAAATAATGGGAGGGGAGTGTTTGTTACTGTAGTCCTGGGACTATTTCCCACTTGGGATTAGATCAGAAAAGATTCCTATGCCCCGTAACTTTTCTGAAAACTACCGGTTTCTCACTAAATTGTTTCCTCGCGTGTTACTGTCATCTTATAATCTACAGAAGTAAAAAATAAAAAATAAAGAAAATAATTCTCCAGTAATTGGTCCTCCCAGTCGAGCACAGGTTCATCTCCAGTCCACACTATTGCCGGTGAGATCTATAAACTATTTTCTCTCCTACTCCTTCAATCGCTTTTTGCACTCATTGTCCTCGTTCTGCTTTTATCTCGTGGATAGTCTCAGATAAGTGTTCTGATAGTCAAAAAAAGGTTGGCTAGAAGTTACTTATTTATACGTGTAATAAGATCGGAAATGATAAGATATTTTCATACGAGTGCTCTAGCATTAGTTACATGTTTGTACATTGTGCATATTCTTCTTTACAAATTGCTTCATATATATTTGTATAATAATCTTTTTGTTAATTTCTTTACATGCTTAATGTAGTATTATGTTCTTTTATAAATTAAACGAGTCAAACATATTATTTTTAGTGATTATAATTGATAAATAATGCTGTATTTATGACTTTGGTGTATGTGTTGTGTTAGGGTATTGTTCAGTTAGGCAGTTTCGTATTGGACAATGTCTAAAAGTCCCAAACTTAACAAATTAATTCCTTCATACTTGGCAAAAGTCATTGGTGACTGGAAGGACATAATGGATATTTAGTACTATGCCCTAATATGATGCTCCTTGACCTTATAATGATAAATTCCCAAACATATTATGGGTATTAGACGTGTTAATAACATACTGAACCCAAAAAAATTATTAAAAATCTAAGTCACTACAGTCCTCGGTATTATTATATCCCAGTACTATAGCGTGTTAAATTAATCTCGGGATAAAACAAGTGCCCAATCCAAAGATGGCCGAAGTGCATGTTTGGCAACTTGGTCAAAGTGGATTATGATGCTCTATTTGGATTATACTCCACTTTTGCATGCTTGGTTGAGTGGATTATTTTGGATTAGATATCCAGCAAAAAAAAATGTAGGATTCTTCGCTTATTTTTTTGTGGGGTTGTAATCCACTTGTTTGACTGAGTAAAAGACAAAATGCCGTCACTTTTTATACCTCATTCTTCTCTCTCCTCCCACTTTTAAGAGTTATTTTGTCATTTGAGCAAAAGGTATACGGATTATAAACTGGCTTCTTTACTGAAGAATAAAAGCTTTAGTCCACTTAGTTATAATTTACAAACGGATTACAATCCAAAGTTCCAAACATGCTATAAGAATAGGCATTTGAAAGTAATAGTGTCTTTATTATGTAAAAGTAGAAAAAGCAGCTCCAAAAGTAGAAGTATAGGAAAATTTAAAGTTTACATATGGCACAACTATTTATATCTACACGATCTTAATCTGGTGTAAATATCGAGATGCAGGCCATGGATATAATTTTTATGTTTAACGTCATTGTGGACTCTAAACCACTATGGTGACATGTAATGCTTTCCCCTGAATTATGGATTACAACCTCCAAGCCACTATAACTGTTTCTTCCTCATCTTTATAAGTGATCAACTGGGATCCAAACTAATTGGTGTCATTTCTCAACAATCACCTAGGTTTTCTGTTAGAATGCTTTACTAGTTGGCTCTCAGCTCAGGACCTTTTCTTGAAACAATTGTAGCTTCATATTTTATCTTTTTAAATTCTAATCTAGAAATTGAATGTTTCTAGATTTCTAATCGAATTTGTACACAACTGTTGGAATGAAGTATTGAACTGAAGTTGCCAAAGCCTAATTTAGAAGTTCCTTATGCTCTTAAAAGATAAGGAAACTATTAGGAAGCTAAATGGAGGTGCTAGTAAATACTTGAAAGCTATTAGCAAGGAAATACTAGTGATTACTAGTGCCGATAACGATATACTAATTTAATAAATACTTAAGAAAACTATTAAGATTTACTGAAAAGAACCATCCCAATTTTTTAATGATATTATCAAGGAAATTTATTTGTTTCGCCCACACCACTACTAGTAAATATAGCTGAGGTCTTGTACTGAGATGGATCATTTGTGTGTATTTTATTCTGTGATGGAAAAGCTACGTGGAACACTCTTTAATTCCTTAAAAGTTAAAATCAACATATATCAAATTTTCTTTCATTATTAGCGGATGGAAGGACATATGCATGTGAAAGCAAATGGTCATTGGTGAAGTCATGCTGGAACATGCATAGGATTAAATTAATATTCATGTGAATATATTAGATTTTTGGGTAAAGAGAGGATAAAATTAATATTTTCTTGGTAAAAAGAGAAGAAGATGAATGGTTTATAGGAAATTAAAAGACAGCATAGGGATTTCCAAGATATGGAGGGTAGTAGATTAAGATGAGATGGTAAAAAAAAAGAATTATTATTATTAAATGTTAGAGCCTTTAGAATTTGCCAACTGGCAAAAGTATACAACCAGGTTTTTGCTAGAATGTAGCATTTGATCTATTTCGTATTTGTCTATCATTCCGTAGTCGATGACTATGGACCATTTTAAAAATACCAGTTTGTTCTTTTTTTTTGGTAGAGAACAAATATGTCAAAGGAAATACAACGTTCTTAACAATTGATGTACTTTTGTATGTTTAACTCCAATTTCTGCAGCTTTTGCTGCTTTAGAAAACAATTACTAGTTGGAAAAATAATTTTGCAATATATCTTAGTTTTCATAGTATTTAGAAACTTTATCAGTGGCTTATTACTAAGAAGTACCAAAAATCAATGCCCTGGTATTCTGAATACTTTCTAACAGTCACTTCTTTGCAGGAAATGATTAGCTTCATATGCTTATGTGAGCCAGGGCAGATACCGAAGCTCGATCTCAAAATAGCCAACATAATATCCTCTGATTTTGTTGCATCTCAGTCATTAGACCCTCATGATCGTGAAGAAATATCGAGTTTGTTTTTAGAGGTTAGATATGGTTTCCTGCATATTTTCCTTACAGTTTCTTTATTTAGCAAAGGAATGTAGCTCCTACGGTTGAAAATTTTACTTCCGAGTCACTATTTTGGATCTTCTGGTAAAAGAAAATTTCCTTTGTTTCTATGAAGAAAATCTGAAAGCAAGTTTTGCCTACATTTTTTTTTCTTTTTGATTTTACTTATTATTTGTCTTTGTTCAAGTATATTATTTGTGGTTATAGCCTATTTGTGAAAAACTAACATTAGGTTAGGATGTTTTATAGTTCTCATTTACATCTGATTCTTGGAGTATGTTTATTCCCATTCATTTATATTACAAATCATTGGAAGTCTATTTAAAGGTGTTGGTATTAGCACACTAGTATTAGTATTGGGTTATCGAATTTAGACTCATTAACCTATTATTCATATGTGTTATGTACCCTTATTTATAGTCCCATGCAGATAAATAATAGCTAAGTGATTCTGATTTACCATCTCTAACAGGGTATCAGAGCAAGCACCCTCCAAACCTTAACCCTAGTTTCCATTCCACAAAAAAGGACCCGATCGAATCGGTCGATCGAATAGCTTCGATCGGTCGATCTGATCGATCAGCTGAAGACGCCCATCTTTGACGAAGTCTCGCCGTCGACGCCGCCTTCATCTTCATCTTTCTAACCTTAGTTCGCCGTCGCCGCCATAACCCTAGATTGCCGCCACCTTCTAACCTTAGTTCACTCGCCAACGCCGCCTTCTTCGCCTCCCTCTGTGCTCGTCGCCGCTGCCCTCGTCTTCATCTACACTCGCCACCGCTGCCATCGTCTTCCTCTAAGCTCGTCGCCGCCTTCATCTTCATCCTTCAACCTCTATGACTCCTTCATCTTCACCCATCGCTGCCTTCCCATCCCACTGCCGCCTTCTCCTTCAGTTCGATTTGATCTGAACAGTGACAAAAAAAGGAGGACAAAGAAGAAGTTGGGACCCTGGCCTGCTCTCAACTCTGCCTATGTGTTGATTTTTGATGGTTCTACTTTGATTAAGATTCTTTTGCTTCGCTACTACTCTACTATCCTAATTGGTAACGATGTCTGACATCTTTTCTGCTATCACTACTACTACTGCTGAGATTTCTGCACCCAAAGTTTACTTGGGGACCACTGTGAAGTTAAATGGCACCATCTCCTTTGGGCACAGACCTTTCGCATCTTCAATGGCGCTTAGAATAAATTGGCTCATCTTCTGTTCCCACCTCCTGCTTCTACAGATCCTATGTATCCTGCATGGCTTTTTGCTGACTGTTGTGTGATGAAGCGCAGATCAGTAGCAGTGTCATGTTCTCGACCATTGCTAAGGAGACGTGGAATAATTTAAAAGTTATGTACGGCAATGAGAAGAATGCATCTTGTGTGTTTGAGCTCTATAAACGACTTTTTTCACTTTAACATGGCGATCAGTCAGCTCCTGAGTACTTTGGTGAGCTGAAAGGTCTGATCGATGAATTATAAATGTATCAGCCCGTCGTTACGGATGCACCGACGCTATTAGGATATCATAAGGACCTAGTAGTGTCCAAGTTTTTGTCTGGTTCGCACTTTACAGTCTTAGGTGCGGGGCCAGATATTAGGAGATACTATTCCTTTTTTGACTACTACATTCTCTAGAGTTATGCAGGTATCTACTGGAGTTACTACTGCACCACCCACACCATCTCCTCTATCATTTGATCAGTCTGCTATGTTCTCCGGACGTGGCAGAGGTCATGGTCGTGGTCGGGGACGTGGCCACGACACAGGGGGAGGACGAGGCTCTTTTGGTGGGAGACAGATTGACTCAGATAGGAGTCTGTGTCAGTGCGAACATTGTGGAAGGACTAATCATATATTTGAGAAGTGCTAGGAAAAGTTTAGTCGTCCTACATGGGCCCAGATGGCTGATATTACTTCTATCTCTGTTGTTTCTCCTACGAGTACTCCAGCTCCTTCCATAGCTCAGATTTCTCAGGCTGAGTATGATCGGCTGCGTCAACTCGAGCCTTCTCAGAATAGTCATTCTGCTACTCATGCATCCTATTCAGGTATGGATGCTTACATTGTATTTTCTTACAGACCATGAGTATTAGATTCCGGTGCCTCATCTCATATGATACGTATAAAGGACCACTTTGTATCTTTAATTCTTTCTGACAAGTTTTCATCTGTCCGTATTGCTGATGGTACATACTCCAGTTCTTGGTGATGGAATAGTCCATGCTACTTCATCGTTGACACTTACTGATAGTCTATATGTTCCTAAGTTTCCTGTTAGTTTATTGTCTATCAGTAAGTTTACCAAACATAATAACTATAAAGTAATATTCTTTCCTTCTTATTGTGTTTTTTAGAACCTAGCAACTAGAATGAAGATTTTTTCAGGGCATGAGAGAGGAAACATGTACTATTTGGACGACAATGCGTCCGCTACTGATTTTGTTACAGATAAGTCTGATCACTTTACGGTGGCATTGACGCCTTGGTCATCCCTCGTTATCGAAGCTTTGGTCTGTCATTTCTATCCAGTCTTCTGTTTCTTCTTTAGGTTGTGAGTCTTGTGAACTGGGTAAGCACCATCGTGCTACTTATCAGAGTCGTATTGATAAATGCAGCAATTCTACATTTGAGTTAGTCCATTCTGATGTTTGGGGTCTTTGTCGTATACCTTCTGTGAAAGGTTTTAGATATTTCATTGTTTTTGTTGATGACTTCTCTCGCATGACTTGGCTTTATCTGTTAAAAGAGGTCTGAGGTTTTGAGTTCATGTGACTTTTTTTTCACCCAAGCCGATCCCTTTTTCTCCCCCCAACCCTAACAGCTCGTCGCTACCTCCGAGTCGTCGCTGCCGCCTCCAACTCGTCGCTGTCGCCTCCACGTCGTCAGCACCGTCGCTGCCGCCACCTTCGAGTAGTCGCCACCTTTGATTCCGATCAAGGTATCTTCTCACATGTTTTCTTCCTCCTCTCCACATGCCTTGGATCTGCTGCGGAATCATCTTTCAAGTTTCGTCTCCTTCGATTAGCTGGTTAAAGATTGCATTCCCCTTTTTTTTGCTGATTTTAGCCTTTCTATGTTGAAAGCTTGAAAGGGGATTCAGAAGCTTGTTGTGATTGAAAATGTTAAAAGCATTAGTAGTTATCCTGAAATCAATATGAGCAACTCTGACTCAAATTCCTATTAAATTGTTTCACGTAGCACACAAACTTTCTGACTTGTGTAACATATTTTGTAGTTGACGATTTCATCTTTCTGACTTAGCTCTTGTTCTTGCGTATGCATAAACTCCTGAATATAAAGGCAATATATTTTTTAATATTTTAATTTACTTAATCACATGAGTGTGCAAGTTTCTTGAGCAAATTCACTTTTGAAATTGTGGGTAATATCAAGATGTGTTTGAAAATTGATGTATATTATATTGTAATGTCACTAAAATGCATTTTGAGCCTAATGCATATATATTATTAATGTCATTAGAACATGTTGAACAATTATTCATCATTGTTTCATGATGGTGGTGGCATATTAGAATTATAAAAAAATTTGAATTATAAGCATTGAAAAAAGCCCGAATGGTGGTTGGCCGCCACGACTGATGGCCGACAGGTGGCTGGTGGTGGGAAGTGGTAAAGGGCGAGCGTAAGGTTAAGTGGTTGGGTGTGACTAGTAGTTGTTGATTGGTATCATGTGCTATATAAATGGTCAAACTAATTTGACCAATAACTTTCAAAATGGTGTGTTTTCAAAACACTTTTGAAAAAAAACACTAACATGTTATTTTTCTACAAAAACACAAGAAAATCACATTGATTACCAAACACACCCCTACTAATTGAAGTTTGTTGTGTCCGACAACCACTGCTATTGTTTATTTGAAGTTAATAAAGTTTTTGTGTCGAATCCAAATGGTGTATTTGAAAAATCCTTAAAACTGGGTTAGGATTGAACGTGACCCAGTTTTGGGTTTGCTACTTGATTGGCAAAAACTAGGTAGGCCAAGTCTGGCCTACTTCCTTTTTGGCAAAAAAGAAGAAGGCTTAAAATTGGTTCTTTTTTGAACTTCTCCATTGTTAAAAAAAACTAGTACACCGTCAAAACTGGACCATAATCAGTCCTGGTCTGATTGTGAGGGTTTTACCAGACATATCTAGGTACTAGTGGGCTTGACCATGTAAAAGGAAAGATGATAGGGGTTGAGGTCTCAAGCATTTGAATTTTGTTATTGCTTGAAGTATGGAATTACATTATTATTGATACTAGTGCATTGGCACGTGCGATGCACGTGTAAAAAATATTATGTTATAGGATTAGCCTTACATTTTCATATAATAGTTTGATGATGATTTAACTTATGTAATTTTATTATGGAGCTCTACATAAAAAATGTATCTTAAACTGTTATTTAGCAATTAAATATATCTTTAACATAATTTTGTTGAGCAGTTTCCTAATTGAGAACAATATAATTAGAGTTAAGTGATTAAAATGACAAAAGAAAAATGGGGATATTGCAATTTAATTATGTGTGTTACCATTTCATGATTTAGAATGTTTTAGGAATAAGAAAGCAAAAAAAAAAAAAGAGAAAAAGAAATAAAATAAATGTTTTTTTTGAAAACTTACAATGTTAATTATGTGAGTTCAAATTTTATTCTCATGTCATGATTTAAAGTTTCTAGAATTAAGAAAGAAAAGAAATGAAAGGAAAAAAAATCTCTCTTGCGAAATTATAATCTTACCCTCCAAATTATTATAGAAAGACGGAAAATGTCCACCACTCATCCAACTTTTAATACTCCCACTATGTTCATTATATAGTATACATTATACCGTATGTGTTACCCCTGATCAAGGTTATCGATAGCGGATAGCGTCGCATAACGGTGATGCATCGCTAAGGCTATTTCAAGCTATTACGGTAAAATAACGGTAAAAAGCGCAAAGTCAAATAGCGGTCTAATTTAGATATGTATAAATA